CCTCCAATTTTGTTTAATAACTTAGTCCACTGCCTTCATTTGTTTGTGCCAGTGATGGTATTCCCTTACCTTCCCTACCAGTTCCCAAATGTGAGCACTCACACACTCTCATCCCTCGTACGTGCCCCATCCATGCATAGGGTCAGCTATCTGTGCATGCACTTTGGCTTGAAAACTTGTCTAAATGGGAGGTCATGGAGCTGGGATGGGTGGGCGGGTCCACCCACAGTTATCACTACCAGTTCAGGCAAACCAGTCCGAACCAGCAGTATACCACCTCTGGTTTGTGCCTTCCAGAAGAGATGACATGACAAACCTCCAAATTCCAAATGAACCTCATCCACTAGCTCTTCCACAGGCCAGTGTTTTAAAATGCCCATCTGGATATTTTTATCTTCCCCAATCAATGTATCCTCCAGATGTGTGAGTTTTGCTGAGAGTTCTGGAAGCTGAGATCTCTAAATCTAAAGGGCATTTGGGTTATAAAAGGTTTAGGTTCTGTACATTTTTATTATCTCATGAAATATCTGCTCTGCAGGTGACCATCTCTTCAATAGAAGACAATCCACATAAGCAACACAGCTGCCCTTTTGGAGTAATATAAACTGTATATTTCTAATTAGCTGGCATTGCAGGGGCAAATCCTTGGTTGCTCAGTGACAGGCAATTCACATTTGAGTTGCTATTAATAGGTGTGATATCATTCTTAAGACTGCTGCAGTCCTCATAAATCTTCCCATAGAGGGACACATTCCGTTAATAGCAAGCTCATTGTTTCAACCTGGTGGCAGCAACAAGAGGCATTGTTACAGGATATACTCCTTCAATGTCTTTGAATTATGTCTGTTTTGCTTAGCTAGCAGAACTTAGCAGTTGACTTAATAGATCATTTGAACGGAATCTCTCAATTGGCTTTTCTAGAATTTTTATTATATCTTCCCACTATTTTTAAAACCCATTCATGCAATTACTACTCAGAGAATTCCTTCCACTTTATTACTTGGATCAACTTTCTATATCTGTTCTGCCTCATCACTTCCTCTCTCTGCCCATCACCTACCTTCATCATTAAACAACCTCACTTCCTGCTTATATCTGTTACTTACTTTTCCTCTTATTTGCATCTGTCTTATATGCCTAGGCCCATTTGTCAGATAACCAGAAATCATTAAACAAAATTGACTTACCAACTTGCCTAGGAATCTTTCTCTGCTATTTTACTTTCTACCTCTTCTGTGGAGTCAATGTATTGTTCTTGAGGATTCCAATGCTGGGAATTTGCCTGATCCTGGTCACTTTACAAGATGCTGAATTTATAACAGAAATGGACAAGTTGTCTCAAACTGGGAAATCTCAGGTATTATTCTGCAACTTTATAATGCAGCAAACAAAGGGGAAAGCATAATCTCCCAAGGAGAGTTCAATTCAACTCAATTTGTATTGTGATTATCACAAAATCTATGTGTTCTTTCAACTCCCTGCATGTTTCTGTTTCTTTTTGTTATTCTATTGCATATTTATGAGACATAGATTGATAAAGTTGAATGTGGACATTTAGAGGGCATCACACTGCACAGCCTATCATACTATGCAGGAATCCAAATTAAAACATTCTTGAAAGACGTCTGNCGCATGTTCCATTTGGGGGGTTCGGATGCATGCACGTGCTTTGGGCACTCAGTCCAGAAAAGGTTAGGCATCACTGCCCTTGCCCTAGGATTTTCTGTTTTTCTCCTGTCCAAGTACTAATCAAGTCCAAACCTATTGAGTGTTTTGAGATTGTTTGATATGAACTGAGTAAGAAAATAGATTTCTGGTGCTTAATTCTCCCATTCTTTGATATCTAAATTTTAAACCTGCAGAGCAGACGTTCCTAAACCTTATGCCATTACATCTCCCTTTACTGTAATCTTAATGTACACACTTCCTATAAAAATCCAAACATCAACATTAACACAAATTAACAATGAAAATAATACAATGGAACTTTTATTTTTAATAAAGACATAAAAAATAAAAAGGTCCTTCACGCCTCTCTTACGTTCTGTCTACATTTCCCTAAGAGGGGAATGCCCCACAATTTGGGAAACCCTGATGTGAATAAATACCCAGAAGTCAATAAATGGGAAATTTTCAAGATTTCATAGGATTAATTCAATTATTAATGGTATTCCAGTCTAGTTTCCCATGACACAAATTGATTTTTTTTCAAAGGCAAACAAACTTTATTCAAATGTTATTTGAATATTAATTAACATTCATTAATTAAACATAGTTTTATTTAAATGTGTTACCTTTTTAGTTACAAACAGGAATTCCTAACATTACCTTTTTTCTTCAAGTGTCTTTCTTGGCAGAAATATTACATTTGGATTGTTTAAAATTATCAATGTATTTATATATGCTTAGGGTAACAAATTGTTAGTCCCAAAGTCAGAGCAAACTATTTTGTCAGTAGTTCTTTGGACAGGTGGCATTGTGTTCTTTTCCTTTCATTCTGCCTTCCCCAAAGCAACTTTCAGAGAAAGTGTTTGCTAAAACCTATGGTCAGACAGGCCTCCTGCTTGTGCATGGTACATGCACAGTATATGTGCATTGAGTTAGATTCTGAGGCTTAATATGCTGCAAACCTAATTAGGAAGCTTTTCCTCCCAGGCTGTGAGACCTCAAATATTATTAAAAGCTATGAAAATCCACAGATTTTACCATTTTTTTCTGAAAATAACACAGGGATTTTTTTTCTTTTGACCTCCCCTTATTTTCTGGGAGGCCTTATTTTTTAGGTGCAGGAGGTGGCAAGCGTGGTCCCCTCATGGCTTCAGTTGTGTTGCAATATTTTCGGGGAGGGCTTATTTTCGGGGGAGGGCTTATTTTAGCACATGTGCTCAAAAGCCCAACTGGGCTTATTATCCAGGGAGGTCTTATTTTCTACCCTTATTTTCAAGGATAAGTGTAATAAACTTCTCACTTTAGGCTATCTAACTGATAACAAATAGGTATATGTTACTGCTTGATAACATTATGACAAATTTCATGGCTTGAAATCACATCGAAATGGATGTCTTCTTCCTTCTTGCAACAGGGGGAAAAAAACTCTGAATTTTTTGTGCCAGGAGTGATTAAATGGAGTCTTGATTTAATTGCTGTGAAAATATGTGTCAAAAGCTTTTTCTCTCTGCAGATGTCTCACACAAAGCCTTACATCAGGAAGAAGGCAGTGTTAATCATGTATAAAGTGTTTTTGAAATATCCCGAATCCCTTCGGCCTGCATTCCCCCGCCTTAAGGAGAAACTGGAAGACCCAGATCCTGGTTAGTGATCCAGAAGATTCTAAGCGGTTTGGGACTCTTGACCTGGGAAGAAGGTGTACATTTAAATAAGTCTGAATAAGGTCTTTTGCAGTAAAGAGATGTTACTTGTATACCAGATTGCTTTTTTTTTTTGTACTGGGGATGCTATAACATTCTAGGACCAAAATAAACAGCTTTGCACGCCATTTATTTACGCATATGCACAGGGTGTTTGTGAAGTGCAAAAGAAAATGTAGGACAGATTAACTCATCAAGCTCTCAAAGCTTTATCTTGCTTCCCAAAAATAGTTTATTAGGATCATTGCTGGAGCTAAATTATGCTGATTAGCACAGCTGTTATATACCACAGCAGCTTTGTACCTTACTGTATGTCCCTATTTCCCTTATTGAATGGCTGTGAAAGACAAAATAGGCTTGACAAGTAGAAAGTTTTGATGTGGGGATATGGATTAAATGATTTTTTTATTAAATGTAGAACGTGAGAAGCCTTTTCTCTCAGATCAGAATTTGCTGCTTCTTTAAAACAGTCTGTTATTGGAATGGAAGGGGATTGTTCTACTTTCTACTCCAAGGACCACCTAATGTTCTACTTTTCTGCCTTCTAACTTAATACTATCCACTCCATGCTTTTTTCTAAGCAGAAACTCAGTGTTACCATCCCCCTGGTTACCTCCTTCCCTATTTTCCACTCTGTCCTTACAGCGTGGGGGCTAACTCACTTTTTCCCGAACTTAGTGCTCTCAAGCTCTACGGCAAGGGTGTCAAACTCATGTCATCAGGCATCGTCATGTGATGTATCGGGACTTTTTCCCCTTCGCTAAACCGGGGGTGGGCATGGCCAACACGTGAAGCATTCAGCCCACAGGCCACGACCTTGACAGCCCTGCTCTAGGGCATGCTGATCTTCTAGTTCAGTGCATCTGGAAGACCACGCTTTGCCAGTTTAAACAGTAACCTAGTGAGAATGAGGAGATGGTTTTCAAGTTTCAACCGTATGTTGTGAGCATGCCTGTATTTCAAATACTGTACAGTTAGAAATCTCCTTTCACGTGTCATTGGAACATTCTTGTGGGGCAAGAATCGGATGGAGTTTTCTATCTCCAAATCCCTCTTAAGTTGTTTTACGTGGATTATTAATTAAGGAAAAAAGTGTTGCTGTGGTTGCTGTTTACGAGCCCCACAGTCCCTCTTACTAAGCTGTTCCACCTTCTTCTTTTTTTCTCCAGGTGTCCAATCAGCTGCTGTGAATGTTATATGTGAGCTAGCCAGACGCAATCCAAAGAATTATCTTTCTCTTGCTCCACTCTTTTTTAAACTGATGACGTCATCCACCAACAACTGGGTCCTCATTAAAATTATAAAATTGGCAAGTATTAGCAGATCCTGGCAGCTGGTGTCTCTTATCAGTATATGTGGTGTGAAAAACACAACCCTGTCACTTCAGAGGTGTAGCAGCTGACACAAGCTGATGTGGAGAAACTCAGCAGACTGTAAAACTGGCTTTGGAGGTGAATTATTAATTTTCAGGCAAGGACTAGTAGAAATCTGCCGGGGGGATAAAAAAAACAGATTGAAAACAAGAATGAGCAAAAAAGATTCTGCTTGCTAGCAATTCCATTACTGGTTGCTTTTAACTTCTCGTCCTTATTTCCAAAAGCCGTCATAGTTACAAAAAAACAAATTATGAATTAAACAGGATTGATTTGCATAATCAGTAATACATGGACTTGAGTCTATTGATCATATACAGATAGTCTATTTTCCCAAGTACCAAAAGTCAAGAAACAATGGGTGGAAACTAACCAAGGAGAGAAGCAACCTAGAACTAAGGAGAAATTTCCTAATAGTGAGAGCAATCAATCAATGGAATAGCTTGCCTCCATCACCGGAGGCTTTCAAAAAGAGACTGGACAACTATTTGTCTGAAATATTATAGGTCTCCTGTTCAAGAAGGAGGTTGGACTAGAAGACCTGCGAGATATTTATTTAATGTGTCTGTGGGAGAATGAAGGAAATATTTTTAAAATAATAGATGTTGACCTTTATGCTGCCAGTGTGAACGTTCTGAAGCCATATTTTTGGTCATTGTAGAATAGCCAAAATGAAGGTATCTGCAATTCTATACTCTCTGCTGTGTGTGTGTGTTTGTGTTTGGAAGGATAGGATTAAGAAGTTTGGGTACCTAATTTCTAAGAATGGCTGAAGGAGGTGCAGATGATTAAGGCAAAAAAAAAATATTATTATTTTAGAAAAAAATGGTCTTTAACTTTAGAAAACTGTAGTACAGATAATATTTTCCCTTTTGATCTCTACATAGTACAGTGTAACAGAACACTAAACTCAAGACTAAAATTTTCATAAAATTTGCTACATAATTTATAGGAAGGGAATGGGAACGGAATAACACTTCAGCACTTCAGACAAATGGTTATCCAATCTCTTCTTAAAAACTTCCAGTGTTGGATCATTCACAACTTCTGGAGGCAAGTTGTTCCACTGATTAATTGTTCTAACTGTGAGAAAAAATTTTCTTAGTTCAAAGTTGCTTCTCTCCTTGATTAGTTTCCACCCATTGCTTCTTGTCCTGCCCTCAGGTGCTTTGGAAAATAGCTGGATTTCCTCCTCCTCTTCTTCCTCCTCCTCTTTTTCTTCGTCTTCTTTTGAAAGGGTGCTATGCATTGGGGGGGAATAAAACAATTATTTGTTTATTAATCATTAATAACCAGCTGGAACTTCTGTGTTTGAACATAAGTATCAGTTGCTACTGAGCCATTGTTGGTTGGGGTTTTGCTTATACGTCCTTGTCGTGGGTTTATCTGAGGTATTTTTCTGATAAGAAAGATAAGATAATGATATTTCTTATAATCTAGCAGAATTCTGGAATCCTCTTTTGTTTTCTGCAACCACTGTTTAAGGTCAACGACTGGTTTTTAACTCCAAACAATTTTTTTAGCCTGCTAAGTATCTCGCTGGTCTCCACAGAGTGGTATGCTGATCAGATCAAATCCAGCCTTCCTTTCTAAATTATGCAACCAGAGGCCAGTAGAAAGCCAACAGACAAGAGATGACTGTAATATAACTCTTCTCTTTCTGAGCAAATGCATAGAGAGGAATCCTGCTAGTGATGGTGGAAATAATGTAATTATTGTGACAAACAGCTGGTTTGTTTTCATTACTATCCGCAAGACCCATATTGATGTTGTTCCTACACAATACTAAACATTAGTTATACTAAACAATTCATAGGCTTGCATATCACACTAAGCCACAACCAAGCAAATTATTTTATGGCTAAGATTAGACTTAAGCACTGTGCCAATTCATTTATTGACAGTTTGAATTAGCCTAATAGTGTAGTTTTCTGAAGCAGTTCAGGTCTGTTGCTGTATGTCTAATAACGTTGACAGAAATAGCAAATATGCTGAGGCAGGTACTAAATAATTTCCTTTCTTTTCTTTTTTAGTTTGGTGCTCTCACTCCTTTGGAACCCAGGCTAGGAAAGAAATTGATAGAACCCCTGACCAATCTAATACATAGGTAAGTCAGCTAATTCTTCTAGATTTTTTAACTTGGTGGCTGGGGGAGATGGCTCTCATCAGCCATCTGTATATTTTAATGTGGGTATTAAATAATACAATAAAACTATTTGTGCTTCTGGGTAAGGTTAGTCATTGGTATCCTGTGTGTTGACATTGGTTTGACTGTCTTTTTTATTTGTCCCCATTGTGCAATTTTTAAAAATGATTCCAAGAACAGCACCAAAAAGAATGTTGTTTTATCCCTTTGAAGGTAGTACAGGTAGTCTTCAGTTTAAGACTGTACTTGAGCCCGGAATTAGCGTTGTAAGTTATGGCTGTTGTTAAGTGTGACTATAATTTTACATCCTTATTTGTGACAGTCATTAAGTAAATTGCTTTTTTACAATGGGTGTTTTTAAATGCTGGAAATCAGCAAAAAAAATGCTCAAGATTGCTGTCATATGACTTTGCGATATTGCAAATGACTTTAAATGGAAGCTGGTGCCAAATGCCCAAAATGTGATCATATAAACCGCAAGTGGGATAAATGTGGCTATCGGAACTCCCTGTAGATTAGAGGGGAAAAAGAAGTGTCCATTTAATCCTGTTTTCTTTCACAAAGTCACTTTTCTAAAGTAAATAGAATTCATGGCAACTCTATCCATATTTTAAAAAGTAATCTGCTTCTAAAAAATGAAGCAAAATGGGCAATATATATGCTCTTGACTTATCCCACTCTTTCCGGACCTTGATTTATAGAAAAATCAAAGCAGAAAGTTATTCTAAATCCTTCGTTCTGGCAAAAGGAATGAAAGTTATATGCAGAAGAATTTTAACACAACAAACTACCAAATGTTGTTTCTGCTCTGAGTTTCCATAATTGTATTTGTCTATCCTTCTGTCCCATCTGTAAGCTGCCCATTCAAGATTACTTGAAGTGATAATATAGATTTAAAAACGTAAAGAGTCAGTGCGGCAGTCGATGCCATAGAAAGGAAAAGATGTCAGAATAGACAGACAACAGATTCAATAGCAAAACCAAGCACAGTGGGCCCATGTCATACCTTAGCCTGGGAGAACAGCTCATCTAAAAAAGAGTGGGATCGGAGCTGTTTGGATCCCGAGGGCGGGGAAGGGGGGAATTTGTGATCAGAAGAGCAGATGATACAACAAGAAGGCCTGTCTCCTGGTGACATGACATATCTTCTTAATACAGGGGTCCCCTACCCTTTGTCCATGGACCAGTACCGGTCCACGGCATGTCAGAAACAGGGCCATGCAAACAAGTGAAGCCAGGAGTCAAACATTTTAGCAACGGGTTCTCTTCCCTCCCCCCCCCCCCCCCAAGGCTCTGGAGGTTTTGCTTGAGCCTCCGGGAGGGTGAAAACAGCATTCCAGAGGCAATAGCAATAGCAATAGCAGTTAGACTTATATACCGCTTCATAGGGCATTCAGCCCTCTCTAAGCGGTTTACAGAGTCAGCATATCGCCCCCACAATCTGGGTCCTCATTTCACCCACCTAGGAAGGATGGAAGGCTGAGTCAACCTTGAGCCAGTGAGATTAGAACTGCTGAACTGCAGATAACAGTCAGCTGAAGTGGCCTGCAGTACTGCACCCTAACCACTGCGCCACCTCGGCTCTTCAAAGGCTGGAAACGGGCCTGTTTCTTGAACTTCTGGGAGGCCCATTTTTTGCCCTCCCAGAGCCTCTGCGTGGGTCCTGTACTTATGTGGCATCCCAAATGGGTCGCATGGAGACACCTGGGAGGGGCAGGGTGGGCGGGGCCAGCCATGGATAAGATTTGCAGGTTCGCCGAACTGGGCAGATTCTTAGCTAGACAATCACTCTAACCTGCAGGAGCCCATCCCTGAGTGAAGCCCCATCTGCAGGATGCAGGTAGCGTATGAAACCACACCCCCTCTGATCCACGGAAAAGCCTCTCTCCAGGGAACCAGTCCCTGGAGAGAGGTTGGAGGCCGCAGTCTTAGTAGATGTGACTCAAAGCATGCAAACAATGTCAGATCTTACAAGTGGGCAGACCTAATAGGAGAAAGACAAACCCTCAAATCAGCTTTATACAGGTAGTCCTGGACTTTCAACAGTTCATTTAGTGACCATTCAAATTTTACAACAGCACTGAAAAAAGTGACTTGCAACCTTTGCAGTATCCCCATGATCATGTGATCAAAATATAGATGCTTGGCAACTGGTTTATACTTAAATGACCATTGCTGTATCCCAAGACATGTAATCAACTTTTGCAACTATTTGACAAGCAAAATCAACTGGGAAGCCAGATTCACTTAACAACCATGTTACTAACTTATCAACTGAAGTGATTCATTTAACAACAGTGGCAAGAAAAGTCATAAAATGGGGCAAAACTCACTTAAATGTCTTAACAACAGAAATGTTGGTCATAGGTCGAGGATTACCTGTACCCTGAAGCCTATTGCAGCTTTCCAGTGCAACATGTGATGGAGGTTAATATCATGGCATGCCCTTGATTGCTGGTGGAGCCACATTTTGAACCAGCTGAAGCTTCTGAGTGGCTTTCAAGGGCAGCTCACATAGACTTTACAATAATCTAGACAAGGAATGACTAAACCACGGGTGACTATGAATAAGGCTCTGTGATGCAATAATGCATGTGTCCCCAAACTTGACAACTTTAAGACTTGAGTTGAGGTCCACAAGTCTTAAAGTTGGCAAGTTTGAAGACCCCTGCAATAATGAGTATATTTGAGTGCACAGAGTGGATTTGTTCAAATTTGTTGATTGGGATTTTAAGAATCTAATTCCAAATGAAAAATGTAACCTAGCTTTTGTTTTTTAGAATTCATATTTCTTTGGAAACCAGATTACTCAAAAGTGCAAAAATCAAAGGTCTTAATGCCATACCATACACCAAATACCATTACCAATACCATTACCAATACCATTATCAATACCATTACCAATACCAATACCATTACCAATACAATACAATACAATAGCAGAGTTGGAAGGGACCTTGGAGGTCTTCTAGTCCAACCCCCTGCCTACGCAGGAAACCCTATACCGTTTCAGACAAATGGCTATCCAACATCTTCTTAAAGACCTCCAGTGTTGGGGCATACACAACTTCTGGAGGCAAGTTGTTCCACTGATTAATTGTTCAAACTGTCAGGAAATTTTTTCTCAGTTCTAAGTTGCTTCTCTCCTTGATTAGTTTCCATCCATTGCTGTTTGTTCTGCCCTTAGGTACTTTGGTGAATAGTTTGACTCCCTCTTCTTTGTGGCAACCCCTGAGATATCGGAACTCTGCTATCATGTCGTCGTCCCCCAATGTTTTTACACATCTTAATTCTTTAAAATATAAAAAAACATATGGTCACCTTTCTGGTGAAACTTCTTCTGGGGCTAACTGTCTCATAATGCAGTAATTTGTCTGTCTTTTTTTCTCAGCACTTCAGCCATGTCACTCCTCTACGAGTGTGTGAACACAGTGATAGCAGGTAAGGAAGTGTCATTGTGGGATATTACATTTTCTAAATAGTACAAAAGAAAAGCAGATACTTTTGGGATATATCGGTCTGAGAGTTAGTTTTTTCCTGGAAAAGTTGACTGGAAATTAAACATGTGTATTCTTAACTTTTTCACAGTGTTAATCTCTCTTTCCTCGGGAATGCCCAACCACAGTGCAAGCATCCAGGTAACACGCTTTCACTTTTGGTGTCTGTTTCTTATTTTGTGTTGCTTTGAATATTGTGGTGTCTTGATTACCGGTATACACCTAGAGTGGACATATATTCTAGAGAGGACATGTTACAATCTGTGCATGTGGCTAGATGGTTCTTGTTTTATATGTGGGTATCCCCAGAGCACACCAAAGCATCCAAGAGCAGATGAGCCAGCTTAGCAATGTAATTCCAGCAATATGTTGGACATATTAAGCTTTGGTTTTTATTTTTATGAAACCCTCAATCCTATTTGATTGAGATGGATGGATGGATAGGCAGACAGATATTTTTTTTTTAAATAACCTCCCTTGCATTAATTAGATCAATTCAGGTCATTGACAGGAAATATATTTCTTTTCTGTGCTGCTTTAGAGGCAGGATGTGCATTAGAAGGAAAATGAGAGTGACTAAGTGATGGAAAGAATGCCGAGAGTGTTAGAATGAAAGGCTGTTCCATTCACTTTTATTATTACTTATTTTATTATTTTAGATTTTTTTTTGTCTTGCCTTTTTATTTTATAAGCAACTCAAGGCAATGAGCATATCTAATACTCCCTTTTCCTCCTATTGTCCCCACAACAAAAACTGTGACATGTATTGGGCTGAGAGAAAGGGACTAGTCCAAAGTCACCCAGTTGACTGTCATGCTTAAGGCACATTAAAACAGTCTCTGAGTTTATAGCCAAACTGATTCCTATTATTATGGCCATATTGACTTTTTTCTATAACCCTATCATGCAGCTCCCCCAGGCAATGGAGCCCTCTCTAAGAACTAGGCTGCCCATCCATATTGAGATTAGAGTAGGCCGCCTCTACCCCCTGTGCCCTTACTATTCCACCAGGAGTTGTTATGGAATGGTATTCCACTATTAGTAAGAACTACTGACATTTACTAAAGAATAGAGGCCCTTAAGGTGTAGAGGAAGGAAAATCCTTGGCTTTTCAGAAGAGGTTAATGATATATGCTGTCTCTGCAGCTCTGTGTGCAGAAGCTGAGGATACTGATAGAAGACTCAGACCAAAACTGTAAGTATGGGAGACGCTGCCATCTTGGAAGGTAGTAATAATTAAGGCCAAGGAACTAGGCGCTGCATTCTAAAACTGAAATAGCTAAAATGGGGGGGGGAGAGACCACATTCATTTTGCTTCTGGTGATGCTCAGTCCCTCCCAACCACTTGTGACTTTAGAGAAAGCATATGGAAAAGTGAATAGGCTTAAATTTTGGAATGTTTTGCTGAATGAAATAAGTGAAGTATATAATTATAGTAAAACATATATAATGGGTGGTTAGTGAATGGTTCAACACTGAGCAGGGAGTAAGTCACAGATGTGTAATGTTTCCTTGGTTGCTTAGTTTATTGAACGTTTAGTGATGTTAATGATGTATTAGTTTGGGATATATACCAGTAGGCAGATGATATGTGTTTGTCTGTCTGAGAACTCTTTTAATAACATTGGTGAACTTGGCAAGGTGAAGATGATCATCCTCATCATCTGCATGTGCCTCCCTAGTCCTGGCATCTCCAAGTAGTATTAGCCCTCACTCCTGTCTGAAATAGTAGAGAGTCTCAGCAAATCTAAATAGAAAATACAGAACTGGTCAGAGCAATAAGACCAATGTAAGAGAAATGCTTATGTTCCTTCTGTTTGTGATTTAGTAAATGCACTAGATCCAACAGGCACGGATAATGTTAACCATCTATATCAGAACAAAACTTCAAACTACTGGAATTTGATCCCTTTATCACCATGTGTGTACGTTGTTCTTGCAGAAATGGAAAGGGCCCTTACAAGGAGTTTTTTTTTTAATTGTGTTTTGTGTGTGTGTATGTGTTTTTTTCTTTACCACAGTGAAGTATTTGGGATTGCTGGCAATGTCCAAAATCTTGAAAACACATCCTAAATCGGTACAATCTCATAAGGATCTCATTCTCCAGTGCTTGGATGATAAGGATGAGTCCATCCGCCTCCGAGCCTTGGATCTTCTGTATGGAATGGTAGGTTTTGTTCTTACTGTGCATCCTGGCTAATTTGTTTACCCTAAATAGTGAACTCTCTTCCTAGATAATAATGAGAATGATGAAAAAATGATTCTAAGATAGCTTATTCATTTACTTTTTGTTTAAGCAGTTGTATCCCTAAGCCACTTTCAAAGCAGCAAAGAAACTGGGAGGCCAAACGTTTCCAGAATGAAGTGTCTGGTATCGTTCACTGCTACATCTTGTGGGTTTTCTGCCAAGCTGCATCAAATAGGCATCTTCCCATGTCATGTATAGAGACCAACATTAAGTAACTGCTGCCTGAGTTTCTGTGTGTTTGGGCCTTTGCTACAGGTGTCCAAGAAGAATTTGATGGAAATTGTGAAGAAGCTGATGATCCATGTGGACAAAGCTGAAGGAACAACTTACAGGGATGAGCTGCTAACCAAAATCATTGATATATGTAGCCAGTCCAATTACCAGTACATCACAAACTTTGAATGGTCAGTATTTACCACGTATTTAGGTCCTGCTTTATAGCCTCAGGAGGATTTCAGAAGGTTATGCAATGTTTTCCTACAAAGTAAAGTTTAAATCCTGTATAATACAGGCATTTCTCACTTAGTGTCCGTTTGTTCAGAAACCTTTCAAGGTTATGATGGTGCTAAACCAAGGGACTTACAACCAGGCTTTGAAATTCCAGCCATTGCAGCAACCACATGGACAGATGAAAAAAAACTCCCATAAAGGAGGGCTCTTGAACCAAAGAAAACGAATAAACCACATACTATATATCCAATTGCTCCTTCCCTTTTATGGATGGCATTTCTTCCCCAAATGTGGTCCCCATCCTTAAATCTTTCAGTCTTACTCAACCGTTTTGCTTTCCTTAATTACTGCTTTCCTCAGAATGTGCACTTTATATTGGATTATTTTGGGTTTCCTCATAATTCAAGCCAAAAAGTCTTTTTTTTAACAGCTATGTTTTTTTAAAAATAAATTGGTAAAAAAAACTCAAGCAACAAAGGCTGTTTGTTTTACACGCAGAGAGAGACAAGACACAAAGAATTGAAATGGTTCTGTTTTTCTCAAAATCTATATAGATTTTGGAAAAAGTGTTGCTTAAAAAATGTTTACTCATATGCAAATGTACATATTTGCTCACTCTGCATCTACACACGTACATAGACACACAAACACACAAACACACACACATACACAGCCCTTGAGCAAATTTTATCTATTTTTAATTCAGCATTGTGTGAAATTAGAAATTAGTAATAATGCAATGTACTTTTTGTACCCCATGGCTCTAATAGGATTTTGTGAGGAGATAGGTGTTGGAGCAACCCTGGCATCACAGGAGGGTTGCAGCAGGTAGCGTACCGTATTTTTCGAAGTACAAGACGCACCTTTTTCCCTCAAAAAGGAGGCTGAAAATCTGGGTGTGTCTTATACACTGAATACAGCTTTTTTTGCCTCCCGAAACCCCGCCCCTCCACCAAAATGGCCATGCAGAGCCTTTAGGAGGCTTATAGAGTGGTCCTGGGGGCTGGGGAGGGCAGAAATGAGCAAAAAATGGGCCGTGTTTTGCTCCTCCCACCCCCCAGAAGCACTCTATAAGCCTCCTAAAGGCTATGCAGGCCCTTCTTTTGACAAAAAACGGGGCCGTTTTTGGGAAGTCTGCAGAGAGCAAAAACTTTTTTTTAATTTGCCACTTCAAAATCTTGGTGCGTCTCATACTCCGAAAAATATGGTAACTACTTTTGAGTCATTGTGATACAGGCAGATAAAGGCTAGGCAGAACAAACAAAGAGAGAAACAGAAAAAGCAGAAGCTACCAATGGCCATGTAATGATGTGGGGAGGGGCACCTAGGCTGGGAACTAGAGTTTGAAAACCAAAAGCAAGCTGAGGAAGAAATTAACAAGCGGTAAGTAGAGTATTTGTGTGTGTAGAAGCTGTAAGAGGGTAATAGAGATATTAACATTTGAATTGTTGAAAATCGCAGTGTACACGAAGCACGCATGAAATTTGCCAATAGGCCTCCTCTTTATCATAATGGCCTCCCTTTGGTGTGTCTGCTTGCACATCGGTACTCTCTTCTTATCCGCTTCAGGTACATCAGCATCTTAGTGGAGCTGACCCGGCTGGAAGGTACAAGGCATGGCCATCTCATTGCCTCCCAGATGTTAGACGTGGCAATCCGAGTGAAGGCCATCCGCAAATTTGCTGTGTCCCAGATGGCCATGCTTCTGGACAATGCTCACTTGCTGGCCAGCAACACGCAGAGGAATGGAATCTGTGAGGTGCTCTACGCCGCAGCTTGGATATGTGGAGAATTCTCAGAGTAAGTGCCCAGGAATCTGGTTGTTTGAAAAGGAAGGGTTTTCAGGAGGCCAGGTTCTCTCTTGTGGTCCCTGATGCCTGAAGCATTTCTTGTGGCTCCCCTTTTCCTGTCCTGGACAAGGGGGAAAAGAAGCTCCCTAAGCTTTCCTCTTCACTGCAGACACCTTGAAGAACCCCAGCAGACCCTCGAAGCCATGCTGCGGCCTAAAGTGACCACGCTTCCAGGCCACATCCAGGCCGTCTATGTCCAAAACATGGTGAAGCTTTATGCCTCAATTCTGCAGCAGAAGGAACAGGCTGGTGAGAAGGAAGTGGCCCAGGAGGCAACCCAGATGATGATCGACCGTCTGCCTCAGTTTGTGCAGAGCGCGGATCTCGAAGTCCAGGAGAGAGTAAGAAAAATCCGCCTTTTTTTTCCCTTTCTTTTCTTTTTTTGCCAAATTGATTTTTCAGCTTTGCATTTTGCTGGGTTTGGAGTGGAAGGAAAGCATTCATTCATTCATTCATTCATTCTTGATCTTTAGGCTTCCTGCATTCTCCAGCTCATGAAGTACATCCAGAAGCTTCAGATCAAAGAGGTCCCCGTGGCTGAAGAAGTGACTGCCTTATTTGCTGGGGAGCTTAACCCCGTAGCACCTAAAGCTCAGAAGAAAGTTCCAGTCCCAGAAGGGTGAGATGCTCTGCTTTTTCCCGTAGGATGATAATATCTCAATAAGTCTCAAGCTCCGTACCCTTGGCCCATCTCATAAGCCATAGAGCTTAGAAGGACCAGGAGAGGATATTTATATTTATGTGGGGCGGGGCACTTAACAACAGGATGAAGATTAAAAATTGGCGGCTGGATTCTCACATAACCTGAGATTCTTTCCTTTCATAGTTTGGATCTCGATGCTTGGATCAACGAGCCACCTTCAGACAGCGATTCTGAAGATGAAAAACCAAGGACCATATTCCACGACGAAGAGCAAAGGCATTCAAAGCAACGGCAGCCTGAAATGGATGAGGAGGAGCTGGCCAGGGTAAGCTGGGAGAATGGGTAGGGGTAGTTCCATAAGATGCATAAGATGGCTAGAGGAAGGCTTCAAAGTTCATAGCATTTTTTTAAAAAATAATTGTTCTGAAGGAACTTTGCATGTGTGATTTCCAGGTTCTTACAACATTTCATGATTTAACAAAATTTTAGTCATTTTTAACTTTTTTTAAAATGGGGAAATGTACTAAAACATTTTGATTGAAATACTGAAGCTGTCTGATTGATTCCAACTTGTTCAATCCTTACCTCGTCTTTAACAATGCAAGTGTCTTTTCTACCTTGATCTGGGATTCTTAACTCTTATTCAAGCTGGAGAAGAAACACCTTTGAATTTCCTTTTATAAATAAAACTCAAGGGACAGCTATCCTACTTCTGAATATTTTTGTTTATTTGCTTTGTTTGTTTGTTTTGATCTAAAGCGTCGAGAAGTTAGGAAGCAGGAGCAGGCAAACAATCCATTCTACATTAAAAGTTCTCCATCTCCACAAAAGGTAAACAAAGCTTCTCTGGGGGAATAAAAATAGTGACTTTGTGGTAGTGATACTTATGTAACAATTGGTTTTTTTTTAACGTAAGTGTTTGCATGCATCTGTCTGACTGCTGGGTGTGAACATTAGTACTAAATTCCCCTTCTTTTTTGCTTTCTCCAGAGGTACCAAGATAGCCCTGGTGTTGAGCACATACCTGTGGTTCAGATCGATCTCTCTGTTCCTTTAAAAGTTCCTGGTAAGAGAATTTTATGGCAGATTTCAGCATCATTTGCTTAGCACCCCGTCTATTTTCCTTGGTCAGATTTGAAGGCCGTTGTTTATGGAATCGTCATTCAGAAATAGGGAGATGTTAGGAGGCTTGGAGAAACCCCAAGGTTTTCAGAACTTCAAACCAATCTGGTACAGGAGTCTGAAAATCAGATCATGAGCGTGGTTAATAAATGAAGAATTCTGGCTGCTTAGAGAAGGACAGAAAACTGGGCAGAGTTCCCTCTGTGAAAGCCAACTCCCAGCATTTATGCTCTTTCCAGGCCTATCTACATTTCTTGACACAGATGCACATGTATATGTGTGATACATATACCCCAAGTCTATGACTTTGATTTAGGATCTAAACTATGATAGCAAAAACAAATTTTAACCATGAATGCTGCATGTATTTCTGAAAGAACCACTTTCCCTTTGTAGAGTGGGCCACTAAAGAAAAGGCCACCTGGCTGGCTGGGTGGATGGGCAAAATAAATTTGGGCATAGTCGTTCCTGGCATAACATTTCTATTTCTAAAGTTTAGCCGCATAGGGTTGCAGGCACCACAGTGTGTTGTAGTAATCCAACTGTTCAATGTTCAAGGCATGAATGGCTGTTGTCAGGGCAATTTGTGCAGTTTCTGAACCTGTTCTATATTGATTTTTTATTAATAATATTTTTTTTAAAAAAATTACACTTAAAATGGTTAAAAAGCATTCAAAATCCTGTAGAATATAATACAATAAACTGAAATCCTTTAAAACAGACTGCAATATAGAGACAAACAATAACATTCAAAACAGCAGTTCTTTTTAAGGACTGCAACATTTAACTGGTTAATTCAATCAGTCAATTTATGACCTTCGTATCCTGCTTTTCAGTCAGAAACTTCCTAACCGACTTTTAAAAAGTCAGTGCAAGTAGTCCTCGACTTAATGCCCATTCAAAGTTATGACTAACCAAAAAAGGTGACTTTCAATCTGAATCAGAAATTCCGACGGTCACCTCCCTCCACCAACAGAGTTGAGCTGCATTTATGACTGTTTGCAGCATCTCACAGTCCTGTGACCACATTACAGTGATGAGCCACGGTGGCACAGAGTGCAATATTACAGGCTGCTTCTGCTGACTGCCAGCTGACTGCAATTTGGCAGTGCAAATCTCACCAGGGTCAAGGTTGACTCAGCCTTCCATTCTTCCGAGGTGGGTAAAATGAGGCCCAGATTGTTGGGGGCAACAGGCGGATGCTGTAAACCGCTTAGAGAAAGCTGTAATGCACTGTAAAGCGGTATATAAGACTAAGTGCTATTCTATTTTGCTGAAACCTGGCAGTTCCCATTTTTGGCAAAATGGCACAAATAGCAAATCATGGATTTGCTTAATGACCACAAGGCAAGCTCCATTACTGTTATAACTTGAGAATTATTTGTAGTGAGATAATCTCCATTCAGAACCTTAAAATCTAGAAGACATAATGCACAAGGGGGAAAAAAGAGAAAGAAAAATAGGCAGGTTTGGATACTTCCAGGTTATAATTTATATCATGACTCTGTTTAAGGAAATATTTCAAATAACTTTACGAAATGAATGCTGATAGGTGACAGATGAGAGAGCTCAACTTTTTCTTAGTGTTACCTTATGTCAGTGTTTCTCAACCTGCTGGTTGGGGAATTCTGGCAGTTGAAGACCACACATCTTAAAGTGGCCCAAGTTGAAAAATACTTGTCTTATGATAATTATAAAGATAGCAGGTGGAAATGATATGGTTCGATATTTTCCCTTCTCTCACAAAGGATGATCAATAATGCATTTGCTCATCATCTGTTAACAAAATTTGTAGTTTCTTCAGACTTGTCACTTTTTCTCAGAATTTAAAGGTGATAACATCTTAATCAAAATGAAAGCTTTCCTTTTTTAAGCTGTCCTTCATTCAGTAGCCAGCCTCCATACAATCCCTTCTGGAGGCTACTTTTATTTCTTCTGGCTTTATCAGGCTTACCAGCATCTGACCAATATGTGAAGCTGGAAGAGGAGCGCCGGCACCAGCAGAAAATAGAGAAAGACAAGAAGAAAAAGAAGCAGAAGAAAGAAAAATGGGGCAAGAACCGTCGCCACAATTCCCTGCACACAGAGAGCGATGAAGATATTGCACCCGCCCAGCATGTGGATATTATCACAGAGGAGATGCCAGAAGTAAGTGCCACAGGGTGTCAAGGCTTCCTTTGCAGACTGGGAGACTGTGACTGCTAGTCCCACCTTAGGCATGAAAGCTGGCTGACTGACTTTGGTCCAGTCATTCCTTCTCAGCCCAGCCCACCTCACAGAGTCGTCGTTGTGAGGAAAATAGGAAGAAGAAGGAGTATTATGTATATTCCTCACTTTGAGTTATTTATAAAAATAATGAAGGCCGATTATAAATAAATAAATAAATGAAGGGCACTCTGGTTCACATTCCTGTTCCATTGTGTGACCCTTAAGCCAGTTGCTAGATGTGGGCTTAGAGCTGCGAATGGTGGTCAGAGCCCGGCAGAAATAAAGGATGGAGCACCACCTCAGGTAGGTACAGTTGCTTGTTTTCTCTTTCTCAATCCCTCTTTTTCCTTCTTTCTCTTAGTCTCCCCAGGGAAGAAATATTTGCCACAGGTTCAGATTGAGCACTGTTAGAGAGCTTTTGAACGAGGCCCAAGGTCATGCAAAATTAAGCTATCCTGTTCTTGATGTATTTTACAAGGCACAGCTTGTAGATGGATGTTGGTTTTTCAACAAAATAGGCCATCTTCCTGGCATTCAAAGCTAGTACCCTGCAAGTCACGCACCAAAGAATGAAATTTATATGAAATTTAGCCAACCAATAATTTTCCAGTGTTGCTTTCGTCACCAAAACTGTTTGATAAGGGGGAGAGGGGGAAGTATAGAAATTGGATTAATTGGTTTAGGACACCATAGGCAGGAGGAATCTAAAGCACCCTGGAGAAACAGGGATCGCCATACTTTTCCCTTGAGAATGGATACCTTTTACATAAGCTCATTTTCTCCCTCTTATGCCTCTTATCTAGAATGCTCTGCCCAGTGATGAAGATGACAAGGATCCAAACGATCCCTACAAGGCACTGGATATTGATTTAGATAAGTGAGTACAAATCTTAGCTCTTGCACAACCCTCTAAAATTTGTGCCAAAATGTAGTGCTGAATGTGACAGAGAGTGGGATTTATTGAATGCTGAGTGTGGTGTACTCACCGTACTCTACATCAGTTAAAGTAGAGAAGCTAAAGACTTGGGCTTTCATTCCTAAACTGCTGGTTTTATAAATGTAGTTATAGAATGGTTATTCAAATAGTTCCAATAATTATTTGAATGTTATGTTGGTACATCTGAGATCCAGACATGAAGATGCATTAAGGGAATTCAAGAGCAGTAATGGCACAGTGATTAGGATGCAGTATTGCAAGCTGAATCTGCCCACTGCCAAGAGTTCAGTTCTGACCTGCTTAAGGTTGACTTAGTCTTCCATCTTCCTGAGGTCAGTTAAATGAGGACCCAGATTGTCAGAGGCAATATGCTGATTCTGTAAACCGCTTAGAGAAGGCTCTAAAGCACTGTGAAGTGGTATATAAGTCTAAGTGCTATTGCTATTTGGGCCTTCCAAAGGGAGGATTTGGATCTTCCTTGTGCCATTAGAGAAGGAATGGAGAAACCTGCAGCTTTCTAGATGTTTCTACACTGCATCTCTTCTGTCCCAAGCTTTAACCATGCTCATTAGTCTTGATGGGATTTAGAGTTCAACTAACAGAGGGCAATTAGTTTCAGAATCTTACAATATTAGTTCTCTAAATTTCAAACGGAGGCAAAACATATTTGTTTTTCAACACTGAAAGACATTGTTGAAATGAGGTAGCATTTCCCTATTTTGCCTTTGGATTATTTCCATTCCCAGAAGTTCTCATATCCTGTAGTCATATTGTTTTTCTTTCTGTCTGTCTGTCTCTCATACACAGTCTGATTTCAGGGAGTTCTGGCAGGTAAGTTCCGTCTTTGGCAGCGTAGAAGGCTAACTGCTTCTGTCCAGCACTGTAAAACACAACATGGCAAATGTCATTGGTTTATGCAGAAAACTTTACATCAAATCTCTAAACTTACTCTAAATCTCTACATTTATAGTCTGGAATAAAGCAGCCAGTCTATGATGATTGGTTGCACAACCATTGAATCCTATTATTTCAGTCAAAGAATAGTGGCCCTGCCACTTCATTTACACACGTTCCCAATCTTTGAGCAGAGATTTGAAAATTGATATTTGGTTGAGAGAAATGTTGGGCTTTACAGTGTGAGCTGTTCCTTTTCCTCTACTCCTCCACCCACTTCCTGTAAAATGAGATTCAAGATTAAAGATTTTTACCAAGGAGGAATCTCCAGTTGCTTCAAGATGAACACAACAAATTGCCAAATTGACAGGAAGACTAAATTAAGCATTTCAAGTGGGCCATAATTTTCTTTTCTCAATTGTTTTTTCCACTTAATAAAGGCTGTCAATTTTTTTCACAGAAGTTCTGTAATTGTCATTAACGGGCAGAAATTCTGACCACGAGGAAGCCGGGGATAGGGGGGAATGAATAAATTATAATTTTGCTCTGAAAAAGTTAAAAGTGAGCAAATCAAAAGTTTACTATATTCGCATTAAGGAACATTTCCAAGCTTTCTGAATGCAATTACAAAAATAATCAGGAAAGAAGCTGTGTTTTTCTTTTTCAGACCATACAACTCTATATTTAAAATGATCTGAATTATTAAAATGTCGCACCTTTTCATCTGGGAAAACACTAGATGGAGTTTTCTCATTTTTCACTTTCTGGAATTTAAAAGCTTGCTTTTATGTTGAAGAATTTTTCAAATAGAATCCTAACAATTTTGTTCAATAAGCATCACTTAATTTCATGTGATCCTCTTTAGACTCTGCTGAATTATATTTCATCCTATGTAGTGTAAGTAAGTAAGTAAATCTTTATTACGGTCAAAGACCAGCAATACACATTAGTTTTTACAATATGTTAAAAAGTACTGACATTAAGATATAATTAAAAAGTATTGACTGAGAACATACATGTTCTCAGATTGTTCGGGTCACTTCCTGGTTTACCACGTATGCAGTGGAAAAGTTCTCTCCAGCTGCAATGTTCGTAAGAAAAAAATTGGCTACAGAAGTATAGT